CCATGTAGGGAGGGGAATCCTGTTTGGTTCTTTGTGCATACAATAGTAAACTTAGTTAATGTATACACGCACACTATGTTCTATCCTAGACCTTCAAGAAGAAATCCCAGGCAGTGTGGACCAACCTATTCAGCACCATCTGTGACTTGGGGTGAGAGAGATGGATAGGAGCAGGGTTGGCAGGGAGTGAGGAGAACCAATGGATCCAGTGCTGAAATTTGAATTGAGGTAATATACCTGCCTGCTCTCTTTGGCTACACTGCTCACTTATTTCGAAATAAAGTGCACATCTACACAGCAAGTCTGTTATTTCCAAGTTATTTAAAAATAACGGGTTTCTTACTCTGACTTCTTGTTTTGGGGGTGGTCTTCTTTCTCCCAGGAGGAAGGATCGTGGGTCCCCTGGGCTGTCTGAGTCCGCAACTCACTCCACAAAATTGGCCACATCAGCAATCAGACCCCTCCCTGTGGTGCTGGACAGCCCGGCTGCTAGAGTCTATAAACCAAAATCCAAGACTGGCCCTTTAATGCAGGGCTGGACAGCACACTGGCCAGAGTCACTGGGGGGACGGGGAGAAAAAGGGGAGGCTATGCCCCAGTAGGGGGACCTGGACCCACCCTATTCCATCAGGTCCTGATCCAGAGCTCTGTGAGTGGCAGAACAGTCCACCACTCCCTAGGCCAGGAATCTGACCAAACCATGCTGAGGATCTCGGGGTGGGAGAGGCTGCTCCTGCACTCCCTGGGCTGCTTTCTACCAGATCCATTGGGTAGACATCCCATGTAGCTACCATGTTCTCTAGCTCTTCAGGGGCCACATATCCCTAGGAATCTGCTGGGGTTGTGTTCCTGCCATCACCAGGGCCTGCACCATTCTCAGATTGAGCAGTGGGCTGCTGCTGCTCAGGAGCTCTAAAAAAGAGATCCTTCTCTTCCAGCTGCCAGCCAGACTGAGCCTCTTCCCAGGCTTTTATACCAGGGCTACAGTCTGAGCATGCCCGGCAGGGCTGCGGGGACAGGGCTACTCCAGCCAGGGCAGCCTGGTTAAACCCTGCTTCTTCAGTGCGGGGCTGGTACATCCAGTCACACTTCTGTAACCCTCGTTTCACGAGGAGTAAGGGAAGGAGGAAGAGTGTTCTTCCTTCAACTTCCTGCTGCATAGACAGTGCCAAAAGCCCAATTCAGCTATTTCAACTTCAGCTACACAATTAACATGGCTGAAGTTGTGTGCCTTAATTCAGCGTTAACCTGCAGTGTAGACAAACCCTTAGGGTGAGTTCTAAGTTAGGAAACCCTTAGGGGGAGTTCTAAGTTAGGAGCTGGCTGAAGGAAGCATGACGGAGCGATCAGACAATTACCATGCCTATAAGGAATACTGAGCATGGGAATGGACTACGTCTTGGAGTACAGATCAGTATGGATCATGAGTAGAGCGAGAAATGTACGTTTAATCAGGATATTTGTTTTGTTGTGTGGTTGAACTTAGTGTTAATTCTATGTGCCTTCCCTCCCCCATTCACCATATTTAAGCTGAAGCCCAAGACTACCACCTTTCTTTGTGATTTAATCGATCTTCTCAGTAGCTCTGTTAACACCTAGCAACCAAGTATGCTTTGTCTTTTTTTAAGAGGCTGATTTGATAGTGCGCGCGCATGTGTGTGCGTGTACGTACACACACGTACAGAAGGGTCAGCTATCAAGATTGCAGTTTGTTTCCTTTAGTGTTTTTTTCCCTCCTTTTTTCAAGATCTCTTGTGGCAAAAGAGCTTGGGGTACCCATTGGGAAGAAGTTCAAGTGTTTCTTCCTAGTTTTCAGGGTTTTAATTCACTTGATGGTGGCAACCTCTCCTCCAGTGCCAGTGAATCTGTGACTCTGGGGAGTTTTTGTAAGCAGAGCCAACAGAGGCAAGGTATTTTTAAGGTCGTGTGGGCCCCCTAACCTTCTGCACTCTGTATAATGTTTGACATTTAATGGCATTCATTAGAATTCTGCACTATCTATACCTTTAGAAATATATTCAGTACATCATACTGTGTTTAAAGTGCCCTGGAAAAACCATTTTAAATCAAGCAATACATATTAAAACCTACTACTCCCAAAAAATTAACTGTCAAAAACCCATAAATTTAATAGTTCTATTGCACCAGAAGGTGTGCACAAGAACAAAATTTATAATTACATTAATAAAAATCTTAGTTTGAAGAGGCAGGGAGTGAACATAAATCTGAGGGACCGTTATTATCAGAGCTTTAAATATATGTATGCTTTAGAATAGGTTTACAAAATACTTGTTAGTATGTTAATCTGCCCAATAACAGCTACTGAGGCCAAGAGTACTTTGTATCAAAACAAAAACCTTGCATACAATCCATAATCTCTTAGCAAGAAATAGAAATCAGTAAATTATTGAGTTTGATTTGCTGGTTAAGAGATTTTACCTTAGAAGTGACATCCCCTCAGGGTGCCTTAGGCCAACCTTTATTAGTGCTCTGCCCTATGCTAGTTTGAAATGAAAAACCCTATGTCTTTATGGAACAATTTACAGTTCCATAGTTAGATACATGCCCATAACATCTGAAATTCCGTAAGGTTTTTTTTTGTTTTTTTTTTTTTAAATAAAGGAGAGATGGAGGGGAGGAGAACCCAGAGAATTTTAGGACAGTCATGCTGACTTCGATACCAAGAAAGATACTAGAACAAGTTATTAAATAATCACTCTGTTCAAACCTACATGGGAGAAGTTATTTGCTCTTTATCAATCTGTATTGGCCATATCAAATCCATTTTTCTTTTTTGACAGGGTAACTGGCCTAGTGGATTGAAAGGAGAGGATGAGTGCATAGGATGTGATCTCTCAGGACTTTAAAAATGGGACTGCCAGTAACCTAACATTCTCAAATACAACTAGCAAAATATGGTCCAGATGAAATTATTGTAAGATGGGTGGTCTTTCAACCAGTTGTGCATTCCCAAAGAGTTGTTATCAATCGTATCTTGTTTGGGGCACCACACATTAAGATATATGTGAAGAAACTGGACAGTCTAAAGGAGGAGAACTAAAGTAAGTTTGGAAACCATGACCTATAAGAAAAGGTTGAAAAATTTAGGCACATTTAGTCTAGAGAATAAAATGCTGAAGGGGAACATAAGCCTTCAATTATGTAAAACATTGCTCTAAAGAAAATGGTGATCAATTGTCCTCTAGTTTCACCAAGGGGAAGAAAAGAAATAATTGGCTTAGTTTGGAGCAAGGGTAATTTAAGTTAGATATTACAACAAGTTTTCCAACTATAAGGATGTTTAATAACTGGAACAGTTTATTTTGGGAGGCTGCTGAACAAAGATTAAGAACAAATTGGACAGACAACTGTCAGGAACGATCTAGTGTATTTAATTCTGCCTCAGCCCTAAAATAGGCCCAAGACCTCTCTTCGCTTTTGGGATTAGGAATTAAGAACAGAAGCCCGTCCTTCTTAAAGGCTGTGGAACCTTTTCTATTGCTTCCAGAAGAAGGGGAGAATGAACCTCTTTGTGAGTGAAGTCCCTTACGAGTAATGAGATAGTGAGAGATCTGGAAATAAACTGGAGAGTGTATCACACTTCTACAGTGCTCAGACTCAGTTTGTGGTGGTACAGGACCAAGCATTGAAGAAACTGGAAAAAGCATTTTGCAAATAGAGGGGGGAAAAGGGATCTAGCATCCTGGGAAATGGATGGTAGTCTTGAGATTCCGATCAAAACACCTGCTAAGCATGCTGTGGATATGGATATATACAGTGCTCTTTTTGTAAGAAAAAGGGTACTGGTACTCTGGGGTAATATTCCCCCCCCCCCCACACACACACACACACACAGAGTGCACTGGGGGCTGAAATTCAGTCATGGCCCCTTTAAGAGCCACAGTGCTGCACTGGGAGCCAGAGAAAACAGAAAAAAGAAAAAAAACGCCGCACATCCCAAGCAGGCTTCTGTCAGGAGCCGCGCCATCCCAGGAAAACAGGTGCCGGTATGTGCGGTAGAAATCCCATTCCTTTTCTGTGGGCTGGGAAAATAGGTGACGGTACGCCATTCCAAAAAAAAGCACAGTGCCATCACACACACAAAAAACAAAACAAAAAAAAAGCACTGTATGTATGTATCCATCTCCCCCACTCCCACCCCTACCCCCCCTCCACACAGCATTTTTGCAGAGGTAGAAGGAGAACGTGGCCAACACATCATACCTCTATTCTTCAGCCCCAACAGGACCTGTGGAGAAAGTTCTACTGGTGGGATTGCTGTGGCCTGAAGTGCTTCCTGGAAGGGGCTGTAGCATATTTTATTTAGCACTCATGCGGGAGCCCAGAGGGCTGCAGTCAGAAGCCCCCCATGCATGGAAACTGCTAAAGCCAAGGAGTCTATTGCTACAGCTTTTTCTCGCTAGTGAATGAGGGGAAACTCCCTAGCACCTTCTACTAGCAAGTGTTTCAAATTATGAACAAAGTCCTACACATTAGAAAGACATTTGCCTGTGAGTTTTTCAATCCTGATTTACAATCGCAAGTTGAAACTTATCTACCTTACCAAACAGAACCAACTTTGGGTTACCTGATTGGGTAGTTGACCCTCAGTGCTCATGTCTTTTCTCCTCATTGGCAGCAGAGACTACTGAGAGATCCAGGAGGTGTGGGAGATGAATGGAAGGGGAAGGAACTCATAACCCTGCAGTTGCACATATTTGTGCTTGATTCTTTTAGAAGTGTGCAGTGGAAGGGATCTGTCACAGCACCTTAATGGTGTTATACAATTTAAAATGCAGAAAGAAAAAAAGATATAAGCCAATAGTTCAGAGCCAACTAGCTGGAAACTTTGTAGATGCTTCAAACAGTATTTGAACTCTGCAGCTCTGCCGATTTAAGATTGCTCTCAAGTACTTTTCCTGAGCACACAGGGTGCTCATGCGCTACCGTAATATTTTTAAACAGGTTAATTGTTATTTTAAAAACAATTAACATGTTACCTTCCTCCGTTGTTCTGCTTTCATTTCCTGTAGTCTTCTGTTTTCATCCTCCCGGAGGCTTTGCTTATAAGTATGGCTTCTAGTCTATTGCCAAGCAGAACATAAAAGACAGCATATTAATAGACGATCCTACTCTCAATCTTTACACAGTCGACAGAACAAATTGAAGACATTTCTGATTAATTAAGGAGAGATTCATCTTAGTTTAAAAACCAGACATAAGGCTCTTTTGCCTATGCCACTCATTTAAATGTTTACATACACGGTTTCTTTAGGGCTGTATATTAAAATAGGGACAAAAGCAACTCCAACATTTTATTACTATGAGAAAAATCCACCACTTGGAAGTAAATTTGCATACCTTTCACAGTTCAATTGCTAGGGTGGCTTATTCTCCATAGAGACTTTGCCTGCAGTGTTGTGGTTCAGACAACTCTGGGGGATTGTTTGAATGGGAGAAGTCTATGAACTACATCTGAAATCATTAACAAGTGACCTGATTCTGCAACCCTTACTTATAAAATAGTCTTAATGCATTTTCTCATCATTTACAGTTATTTGGGATCTACCAGCTCATTAACTATGACCTAAGTTTTTACCTTGAGCAGGGACTGTGCCCTCATTTGTGTGGCTCTCTCATACTCGGCATATTACAGGCAGTCCCCGGGTTACATGGATCCGACTTACATCGGATCCCTACTTACAAACGGGGTGAGGCAACCCCGCACTAGCTGCTTCCCCCCAGCAGACCAGGGAGACGCGAAGCTAGCGCCCCCCCACCCCCCGCAGACCAGGGAGACGCGGAGCGTCTTTTCCCAGCAGACACCTCAGCTTGAGAATAAAGGACTGAGGGAAGTGAGGTGTGGGAGAATAAAACTGAGCTCTGGAGAAATGTTTGGCTAGAGTTTCCCCTACAATATGTACCAGTTCCGACTTACATACAAATTCAACTTAAGAACAAACCTACAGTCCCTATCTTGTACGTAACCCAGGGACTGCCTGTACAGAAAATCCCTTTGCCTTTCTGCACTAGATTCTACCCTTAGTAGCACTGATAGAGCTGCACCTGTTCAGAAAAATTCTTTAAAATATTCTAGGATAGGGAACCCTCTTTTGCTTAGTGATTGAGTGGCTTCGTTTTAATTCATTTGAGTTCCTTCCCCCCCAGCAGACCAGGGAGACGTGGAGCGGCTTTTCTCAGCAGACACCTCAGCTTGCGAATAAAGGACTGAGGGAAGTGAGGTGTGGGAGAATAAAACTGAGCTCTGGAGAAATGTTTGGCTAGAGTTTCCCCTACAATATGTACCAGTTCCGACTTGCATACAAATTCAACTTAAGAACAAACCTACAGTCCCTATCTTGTACGTAACCCGGGGACTGCCTGTATATTAAAACTAACAGCTTAGTATAAAAAATGGGAATGGCCATCATATAACTTGACTTTAACAAAGGCTTTGCTAGAACTGTACACAAAAGATTCTCAAAGGAATTTGATAATGATCAAATGATGGATCAAATGATGCCACTCAATGTTGGGTGCAGTTTGCTAAAAAGGCTGAATGGAGATAGCTGTTAACAACAGATCAGTCTTGGACCTGTTAGATGTGTCCAGGGAGACTCATTTGGGGCCCAATATTATTTATTGCTTTCAGTAATGACTTGAAGGGTTGTGTGGAGAATATGTTAATCAAGTTGGAGGACAAAAATTTAGATGGGATCGTTAGCACTTTGGAAGACTGGATTAAATTAATTATGATAATAATTAATCCACTTAGGAAGGGGGGGAAATCTGTTTCACACATGCTAAATGGGAAGTGATGGTCTAGGAATGGGCCCATATGCAAGGGGGGTGTGAAGGGTGCGAACACCCCTCCCAAATCCCCCAAGAGAGAAGTGGCTCTGCAGCCGCTTTCCTGGTGGTCTACAGTTTGAACTCAGTCTGCCTCCTTCCCCCTTGCAGCAGGGAGCCCATGCTGGCACTCCAGCCTTGCCCTCCCTCCCGCCCCCCCACATGCAGTTGGAGTGCCAGCGCCGGTTTCCCACTGGAGGAAGGGGAGAAGAAGCCCTGAGCCTTGCAGTGTGATCCAGTTTGCGGGGAATAAGCACTCCCCTCCCAGGGGGGCAGCAGTGCACAGGTGCGCTGCCAGGAGACTTCCCCTGCAATCCCATTGACCAGAGTTTGGACAATGGAAGCAGCAGTAGGCAGTGCCTGGGACCAGCACGAGGTGGAGAGGCAAAGAAGTGCCCCACTACCTCCTCATGCCCAGCCTCTCACTCACACACGAGATCTTACACCCTCAGCCCACTCTCGCACCCTCTCCCCTGGCCAGATATACCCTACCCAACGCTTGCTCATCTTCCACCTGGCCAGACCTTGCATCCTCACCCCCTCCTGTTCCCCAGCTCCAATCCAGACCTTGCATCCCCATTCGTCTAGCTGGTAGCCCCGTCCCACACACTGAACTACCCCATTTTTGTCCCAACCCCAGAGCCTAAGGGGAGGTCCACAAAATCCAGAACCCCAAGAAAGTAAATCTGGCCTCTGGGAAGCCCTGAACCTCAGTCCTCCCAATGGGGCCAGAGCACCAGAGGAGTGAAGTGTCTCAGTTGAGGGGTTTTGGAGAGGTTCCCCCCACCCCCCGCCATCTCCCTAGAGAAGTGGGTCACAATAGCTATTAGAAGTTTGCCACCCCTGACAGCTACCGTTTGATGGGCAACTGGTTCGGTGTGGGGAAGTCCATCATCAGGGCCCACCTCATGGAGGTAAGGCACTCTCGGGCTGCAGTCCCTGCATGGGGGGAGAGTCCTGGAAAAGGGGGACCCTAGAGAAACAGGGGATTAAGGGGGTGGGGGAAGCACAATCCCCAAGGGTGGGATGGCACAATCCCCCTTACAGTCCTGCTGCTGGGGACGGGAGCTCATAGGGGGTGGTCCCTAGGGTGTTGGAGGGCATGGGAAGGGCACAGGCACATGCCACTGTGCATCATGGGGAATGTGACCCACCCCCGATGCCATGTTTAATGAAGACATACACCAGCCACCTGGACCCCAGGAGGGACCAATTTAATGACCACCGGAACTGGGCCAGGAATCAGGTCAAGTGCGTCTTTGGCTGCCTCAAGGTGTATTTCAGGTGCCTCTTGACCCATGTCGACGTGGGGGAGCACAACATCCCCGAGGTTGTGTCAGCATATTGTGTCCTCCATGACATTGTAGAGACGAAGGGGGAGGCCTTCCTCCTGGGGTGGGAGGCAGACACCGGCCACAAGGGGAGACCCTTTGAGCAGCCACGGACAGCTGCCATTCAACAGGCTCATCAGGCCGGGGTCCACATCCCAGAGGCCCTGAAGTAGAGGTTCTCTGAAGGACCCCAGTAACTCTCCCCAAAGCCTCCCCCCTAGAGGTCTCTGTCTTGCTGCCCTAGCCCTTCCCCACCACAATCCCTCCCTTTGCCTCTTCCCTGACCTCTCAATAAAGACACCTACTTGATTTTGAACAAGATGAATTCTATATTGATCTTTCAATAACAGCTGGAGAGGAAGAGGGGGGCTCATAACCAGAAGAGAGAGGAGAAAGAGCTCCTTTGGAAAAGGCATTACTCCTCGTAGAAAGAGGTGTACTGCGGTCAGAAGAAACCCTCTGTTCAATTTACTTTTGGAAGAACGCGATTGCCATGTGCACGTAACTCAAGTTTTGTTGGAAAAATGGCTGTTTTTAACTGACAAATCTCTGTAGTGTAGACATTCCCTGGAAATACACTAGAGCCTTACAGAGTAACTGAAGCAAGACTAAAGCCAAAAGGGAGAGAAATTCTTTTTCCTTCTTAGTAGCAGACACTTAAGATTCAGCAGATATTAAAGTCTCTATGGCATACGAGATATTCAGTAAAAGCTTTTAAGCTTTTGCTAACTCTAGAATACATAGCAACCAGATGTAATCTCTGCGCACAGTTGTCACCCTAACTGTAATCTAGGCATGCAATCTGCCAACAGGGCAAATGCTTCCAGAAGTGGGTCAGGCAAAACAGCTAAGTGCATGCCATGAAAAGAGCTTGAGGAGGGTAAGAATGGTTGATCTGAATAGTTCTTGTTGTGTATCAGCCAGCCACCTGTATTCAAGCAGTGATATTATGAGAGAAGATATCTACCCAAGTTAATTTTGGAAACAATCTTCAGGGAGACAGTGCAGAGTAGACTTTACTCCTAGGACTAAATTTTTAAAGTAACTCAGCATCTAGCAGCTCCCACTATGCACCTAAATGAGACAGCCAGGTTTTCAAAAGGGCTTAGCAACCAGAAGGTTTAGTTGCTCTAAGTGAGAGCTGCTGCAGGATGGGTAGATCTGTTTCAGTTACAACAGCGATGGGCAACCTCAGAGCTCATGGGCCACATGGACTGTTGCGACTCTAGCGCTACATCTACACTGACAGCTTCTCGGGCAAGAGCAGCTGTTCTTGTGCAAAAACTTGCAGAGCATCTACACAGCACGCGCGTTCTTGTGCAAGTAAACTTACAGTCTAGCGTTGTAAAACAGAGCTTCTTCCAGAAGAGTTATTCCTCTCCCCAGGAGGAATAAGCCCTGTTGCGCAAGAGCTCTTCCACAAGAGGGCGGTGTAGACAGGCAACATGAATTTCTTGTGCAAGAAGCCCCTATGGTTAAAATGGCCATCAGAGCTTTCTTGCGCAAGACAGTGTCCACACTGCCACGGATGCTCTTGTGCAAAAGCACATGCCAGTGTAGATGCGCTCTTGTGGAAGACTTTGCGAAAGAACTCTTCTGCAAAACAGTTCTTACACAAGAAGCTGCCAGTGTTGATGTAACCTAGGTGTGGCCACGAGACATTTTGGTTACTAATGCCCACGTGCAGGGTTGCCAGATTCCACTGGTTTCTGTCCACACAGACTTTTCCCCTACTGGTATTAAGAAAGTGACATGCACATAATGCAAGAGCACGTGAAGTGAGGTGCGTGCTGATTGTACACAGCATTGACTAAGAGCCATGCATTCCCTCTGCATTCAGAGTGCTACTACAGTTCAAGTGGGACTCCCCCCCCCCCAAAAAAAAATCTAGGTTCACAAGTGCAGTTAGCAAAACCCTATCCCAGGAGGCCATCTTCGTTAAAACAATCTTGAGGCCCGCACAGATGAAAGCGGGTCACTTGTGTGGTCCACTCACCGGCTCAGCTTGCCCATCACTGAGTTAGGGTCAGCTTTTAGGACAGGGCTATTCAACTTTGGAAGCCCCAGGGGCCACAATGATACTCTCAGCGCATGCCGAGGGCTGCAACTTAAGTGTGGTTGCATACACATGCAAATAACTTTTCACACTGACAGGCACGAATACAAAGCTTATGGCAACACTACATAACACAGGCCCCATTTAAATCAGTTGTGCTGATAGTAATAAGACGCAATATTTACCCAATTTCCACCCATATGACAGCATTTTAATGAGCAACGACAGTCCAGGAATGTAACTACTAACACGCATATCAACAGAAGATTATATGGACTACTTTTTTGGTTTTGGCTCCCACGTGCGGGCTGCGTGTTGTGCCCCGCGTAAACCCAAACCGCACCGTGGGCCACAAATGGGCTGCGGACCATGTGGACTGCGTGTTGAGTAGCCTTGTTTTAAGAGATACTGAGCATTTGGTAAAATCTGGCTCTTTAAATGATCAGGGATGGATTTATGAAGAATGAAAACAATCCCACAA